AGTCAACACACTCAAATCGATTGGGGTGCTTGGCAGTCACACACCAGTCGACGCTGAACATGGACCTAATCGTGGATCACCCATCTTTTACTAAAATCGTTGTAGTTTGCCCAGGTGCGGTTTTAGAAACCACACCAGGGCCGACAATCTACACTGACACGGCCCGACCGAAAGAAGAGCAGGACTGCAGATAACCAGTAGCTCAACCAATTTATTAAAGCAGTATCGGAGTGTGTTGTCTACAGGATAGCAGATGCGTTAATATTGCTATGCTAAGTAGTGATCTCTGAACGCAGCTAGTTGCGTGGAGTTCATTCACGAATAATCGAATGAACTGTGTTCGCTTGTGCTTGCACACTACGTTCGCTCACGATTGATTACTGTGCTTGCTACATCGTCTACCGCAACTATTACCGCAACATTCCAAAATACTTCGAACACCCGTCGTCATGCTTCCGGCACCTCGAGGTCTATTTTCAGCACAACAAAATAGCCTCGCTAACCACCTGTATAATCGTGTTCAGACAGAACTGCCTCTCCGTTTAGCACTTGCAATTCTTGATGTGATTGAGAAAACTCCTGAGAATAGACCCTATGATTTGCTGAAACCCACGGTGATTACGCGGATGAATCAAATCTACGAAAGCCGTGTACGACGAATTTTTTCCAGGTTATCGTCGGAACTGTTAGCACACATGCGGCGCGAAGTTGAGGGCAGGCAGATTGGTGACATGGAACTGCGTCTAGTGTATTCCAAGTGCATGCCGGCAAAGGTAAGGGCCCATATTGAGGGTTTTACTTTTAAAGCACCACTTTACGAGTTGGCCAATTTCGCTGATGAAATGCTCAGGAAGTTACGGGCAGAGGAAAAAGCGGCCAGACAATCAACGAGATGGGAGGCGATAAGCGTTATCAATTCGACTACGACTGAAATTTCGGAATTGGTCAAGAAGATATGTGAGTTGTTGAATCAGCTGCCTTGTGATCGACAGCTGTGAAAACAGAGCTTTGATTTCCGTGTTGGCCCTATTGTATTGCACTAACACACATTGCAATGTTTAACAGTAGTTGAAAAATGTCATTCTGCTTGACTAGTAACGTGCTGGATTTACTGACGTAGAGGATGAATTTAGGGTCTGTTGTGTTTTATTCTTTGAGCTGATGTTGAATTCAAATCTTACTAGGACTTACTTATTAGCATCACTACAAGTATTTCTGCTGCACCATATTTTAATGACAGCACTGTCTTTGTTCACGTGCAATAGTTGTTAGCGGTACATGTGTGCAAGTCCAGTGATTGTCAGTGACACAACGCAAATGCTGTGAATGCAAGAGCTAGAGGGAGACGACCTGATCGTCTCAAGATGCATGCAGACAGTCAGGTTGCAGAGTAGGCAGTGTTGGATGCACGAAAGCCACATGCTCAGTTGCCAAGCAAGTGTCAACTGGCTTGATTAATGAGGAGCAGGATCTGAGGACGAAGGACCAACAGAGAGACAGGCAGCTGCATTCTCGATGGGCAATTGTCATTTTCAATCATTTGTTAATGCGACAGAATTTTTTCCCCATTTTTTTATCGCGTATCTTTCTGCAATCAGCACGAGATTAGCACTAACGTAGGTGCTACGTCAGTAGAAAAATGCGGAAAGCATCAGACTTGGATACGATGCCCTCACGGATAACGGAATGTATCCCCGAAACGGAAACCACACACTGAGATAAGCAGCGCCTCAATTTAATATCTGACTCCAGGAATGATATTGTGAGTACAGGACAAACACACGTCCTCGTGTGGATGGCTTCTCCTGTCTGAGAAGAGTAATATGTCTGGAAAGATAGGAAGAAGAAGAAGAAGAAGAAGAAGAAGAAGAAGAAGAAGAAGGACCTATAGAGAGAAATAGGCGAGACCAGGATTTGAGAGTTGGTGTGCATAAATTGCAGGAAATTGTTCGAAATATAAAATCACACCTACCTTGACAGATATGCCGTCGATTTTATTCTCTCCGCACCCGTGCAACGTGCTAGTGCGTACAAGCCACCTTACACATTTTGCACTTATGTTACGAAAAGTTTATCCACTACGTGTTTCGCTCATGGTGGATGGGTTTCGTTGCTTTATCGATCTGATTTGTGTTTTTAGCATTTCTAACCACATCACTGTCACGCATGCCACACAGCATGCAATACAACCCCCATTGCTACTGGCAACCTCTTTCCGAATGCTCGCCTATGGGGACCGGTCCATCTCACGGAGTGTGGATATGACTCAACGTAATCTCTCAACGACTACATTGCCTACTCGTTTGCTGCATCCGTACCACGAACAAACCTCTGTTGGAAGTGCACCTTATTCGTGGGTCCCCTGTGCTCGAACACCTTAAAGTAAGCAGAAGGAGTGCGTCCTGTCAACTGATTATTCTCTGCCCACTGCTCATTCCCAGTCACTTTGCAGTTTAGTGCAAGCCATAGCCGTTAGTGGTTGCCGTTACAACTAGCGTTCCTAACACTAACACGCACTGAGTGCCCTTCGTTTGGTGCCCCTAGTCAACACGCGCCGACGCCGCAACCATCAATCCGCTTCCGACTCTGCCTCGGTCACCGACGACACGTCAGCAAGCGAGGAAGGCCAACTCACACACACACACACACTCAACCTCACTAACTCGAAACACAACACCCACCTCTTTAGCTTTACCCTCACCAACACCCACAACTCTCATCAACCGCTACCCCGTCTCACCTCCAGCTCCTGACTCCAAAGACAATTTCACACATTGGCACCATCTTATCCAACTCAAACTGCCTTCAATACCTCACGAACACATCGGCAGGTTTCTACTCACTGCGCTTTCACCCAAAGTTCTGGAGGAGCTACTTCCAGTGCAAGCATAAAAATCAACTAGCTCATTTCCATCCTCTCCGTCAATAGATCCAGGACATCACTAGTCAAGCGGAGTGGTATATTTCAACCATGCTCAAGCATTGTGATGTTTTTGCAAACAAATGGGTCAAACACGCTAACCAAAACCCCGTTTTCATTGTTGCAGCCGATCAAGCCTGGCAAAGATCCAATCAAGCAGCATTTCAAGTCTACCCATGGTCAAGTTGATTGGGAGTTTCGCTTCTTCTTCAATGGATTCGCTGGTTCGATTTTTACCTTCTTGCCACTTTTTGAACCAGTCATCAGCGAAATCCGCCAACTTGGTCAGTGGCGTGTCGTAAGGACAACACTCAATTTTGGGCCGTATCTCCTCTGGCATACACTTGGTCCACACTAGACGCAGTTCCATGTCACCAATCTGACTGCCTCTAACCGCACGTCGCATGTACGCTAACATTTCCGACGGTAGCTTGTTGCCCAACTCAACATCGGGAAGAAGGCGACGTGCTCGAGTTTCGTAGATTTCGTTCATTCGGGTGATTATCGCGTTTTTCAACACATCGTATGGCCTATACTGAGGGATTTCCTCAATCAGCTCAAGAACTGCAAGTCTTACATGCCTCGGGAGTGCTGGCAAAACACGATGATATTTGGAGGTTTGCGAGGTTATCTTGTTGAGGTGAAAGTAGACCTCGAGATGCCGGAACCATAACGACGGGTGTTCGGTGAATTTTGGAATGGTGGTGCAAAAGTCGCAACCGAGGACATCAGTGCGCGATGGGTGATCAGCGACGTCGTCCATGTTCAGCGTCGGCTGGTGTGGGACAGCAGAGCTGCTCGATCGATTTTTGTGCATTTATAGGTTGCTTCTAATCTCGAGTCACTCGCGAACCAATGAGGCTGTTAGATCTTACGATTCATCGTTATTGGTCAAGCTTCGTGACACGAGGTGGTGAGTGAACGCCAGTTGACTGAGAGACGTGACTCAGCTTATCGATTGCTGACATGCGTGTGAAACAAATCGGCTTCCCCCAAGTTGCGAACTTCCCATTCTTTCCGCTTTTGCCAGCGTCGGGTCGAACCACTGTTTGCCTACCACACGTGGCAGTGTGTAATTATCGATCTACTTGATTGTGGTATCGCTCTTTGCTAAATTGTGTTTGAGTGAGGCATGAATCACAATCAGGATCCTCCTGTAAATGGACAGCTGCACAATGGAATCGGTCACCGATGACGCGTCAGCAGGCGAGCAAGTCCAACTCACACACAACCCCACCAGCCCACACTACACTACCAACTCATTTGGCTCCAACTTCAGTAACACCAACAACTCTCCTTAACCTATCCCCTAACTTACTTCCTGCTCTCAACTTCAATGACAATTTCACTAATTTGAACACTTTTTCTCCCTCCAACTGCCCTTCATCCCTCACGAACAACACGGCAGGTTTCTACTCATTGCGCCTTCACCCGAATTTCGTGAGCAGCTTCTCACCGGTGTCCCTATTGATTCCTCAACGCTAATCATCATTGACATCCTAATGCCCCACATTCATTATGGCAAGCATGCGGCTGACCTTCCACTAAAGTTCCACAGTCGACGTCAAGCCTCAGGCGAAACCCTCGCAGAGTATTTCAGAGAGTTCTACCGACTTGCCCACCTGTCGATTCTGCCAGACGACGCCAAAGCATCTCTGCTGGAGTGCCTCACGCAAGTCATCCAAAATCGTCTTCTGTTGCAGCAAATCAATGGCAGAATTCACCACACCTTGGACGTACTGATTGCTATTGTCCACGAACGAGTTGAGGCACAACAGCACACCGGTACTGCCATACAAGCTCGTCCCTTCCACACGCTACGTTACCGCGCTTCACCCAATACAAAAGCCAGTTGGTACCAATAATCCCACGTTTTGTAAGGCACAAAATGGGCAACCAGAATAATAGAACTTGAATTCCCTCGCTTTAGAGGTTATTTTTGCTTGTTGGAATACGTATAAAATGTAGTGACGAATATTCTGTTTATAACTTGCCATCGTGAAATCTGCTAGTGCATGAGGTTAGGCAACTCACGAAGACTTGCCGTTCGGTGTTCTGAAGCTCCTACGCGTGCCTGTAACCAAGACAGCAGACTCAGGAAACAGGTAAACCAGATTCCATGTCTGACGCTTGAAGTGACGTCGTGCAGAGCGATTTCGTCGCCACAGCCAAATGATGACCTTGACCTGGCACATCAAGACATGTCAACAAACATGACCTGTCAGTGGGTTGTCGTGGTGACACATCCGCTGAAGTGGCGTGGTTAGACAAATGGGGTGTGAACGTGTATCATGTTAGCTGGCAGCAATTATCACGAGATCAGAACTAACGTAGGCGCTTTATCGGTTTAAAATGCGCAATGCATCACTCTGGAAAACGGTGCGCTCACAGATAATTAGCACCTCAAATTCGATATCAGTACAGGACCAACATAAGTCCTCGTTTGGATGGCTTCGTCGGTCTGAGACAGTGATACCTCAGCAAGTACCTCCGTTATTAAGAAAAGATGGAATTTATCCAGATGGATCTAGTCTAATTAACACGCAGTTTGAGATGTAAGTGGTGTGACGTGGATGGCTGACTCACTTGAGTGGTGCGATTAGGGGTTATGTCAACTAAGACGAAATCGCGACTGAAGTTTACACAGTTAATTCTCGCAAGGTAGTAGTGGGTTGTTAGGGAATGTACCTGCTGAAGAATTTCAGTAGGACTAAATCAACTGCAAGCAAAAATGCCTCACAAAATGGCACTTCTAGTCGAATTTCGCACAGGTATATTCGCTTTCGATGTAATGTAGAAGTGCAGGCTGTTGGAAAAGCTGACGCACTCATGGACTTGAAGCGTGCTTTCGTGCAAGTTAGAGGATCAGGCACTGTACTGTCCGACTGAACCAAAGGGGCAATGTGACAAACAGATCTACAGTGGGAGAATACACGCTTTTGCTGTAAAAAGCACACTTAGCCGATCATGGACAATGAAGTTGCAATAAACTTGCAAGTGGGCCGATCGATTTGTTTGGTTGTTCGAATCACAACCTGGCCTGTTTCGTGTCCTTACCTAACGCTGTTGCTGCATGCCAGACGAAAACCTACGTAGGGTGGAGTGGGTTAATTTAGGTTGCATTAAGCGTCCCAAGTTAAGACAAGCGTTGTTCAGTGCAACCAACACAAGACATGAGCTCTTTGACATTTATTTCCTCTGACAATATCCCAGAGAACCGAATGAATTGCTGTGATTGATTTGAGGCAATCGTGTGGGTCTAACACAACTGCTATTTACCAAGGCCTAGTCTTCTGCCCTAGGCCAGATCCACCACCATGGTACGATGCAAGCATTTAGTCGGTTGGCACTAGGACAGTATGCGTTTGGTTGCGCGAGTTGAAAGATCAGTCGATGAACAGAAATGCACGTTCATGTCGCAAAGTTGTAGTGCAGGCTACTAATAGGGCTGATGATGTCAGAATCAGATTACTTCCAATCGTCTGGGTCTTGACTTGTTTGGTGCACAAGTTAGACTCTTCCGTGTCCACGTCAAACGACAAATGCCCATTGAGAATGTTGCTGTTTGTACCACGCTAGACTCTAAATATCTACGATATTGGAGCCGCTTTAGTGAAGAAGAGAAACCAGTAAGAAATAGGGATGAGTTATATGCACAAAAAGGTCAATATGCACGCATCACTCAGGCGCAATAGCTAACACACCACCACACACTCAACCCTGTTGAGCTTGTCGTGAATCCTCTTTATTCAACCCCCTAATCCGGTTGCTCCACCTCCTACACAGGGCTCCTCATGTCGCAGAATGGCGCCAGCCCCTTGAATCCTCAACTCCCCTTCATTAGCCCAAATATTTATCTTGGAGTGTCCCCACACATAGGTCTCGATGTTAGCGCATGTATGACTCACACATCCGAGCTATAAATGCACACGCGCAAACACTACACACGACACAACGTCGCCGACGTGGTTGACCTCTGAAGTAAATGCTTGTGTCCGTCCTCTCCGGCCTTTTCCTTCATCGTGGGTATCAGGCAAGCGTAATCGGGCCAGAGTTAATTCCGCGGCCCCGGCGTGGTTCAGAACCACATGCTGGGGCCCACAACAATTGGTGACCCCGACGACACCAAGCTCAACACCACCCAGGGCACGTGATGTGAGCCAGCGTAGGGCGGATAGCAGAGCACCATTAGTCAGGAATTCGTCTTAGTTGACACAACCCCCTAACTACGCCTCTCAAGTGAATCAGCTATCCTCGTAAAAACATATACAGCTCAAATTCTGCGTTAATCCGAATTTATCCGTCGCATCGAAATCATAGTTGTGAAGTGAGTCAGCCTTGTGTAAATGACTGGCCGAGTTTCGCCACTATTTACACAACTCTCCTATCCACGCCACTCAGGTGAGTCGACTGGCAACGCCAGGCCATTGATAGCTCCATCGATATTAACCTGCCTTGATCCAGTGTGTCCATGTCATTGGCGACTTGGATTAGTTGGGAGATAATGATAAATCACTCGGTTCAAGACAGCAGAAGCCATCTGCACAAGGAAGTGTGTTTGTTCTGTACTTGCAGTGTCATTCCTAGTGTCACCCATGAAATCGGAGGTACTGGTTATCTGAGTTTGTTGTTTTTGTTACACCCAAACTAAGCGTTTTCCGTGGGCGCGTTGTTTTTAAATCTGGTGCATTCCGCAATGTTCACTGATGTAGCACCTACGTTGGTGATATTCTCGTGCTAATTGCAAACCACACACCTAAAGACACAGACCTACCTGCTTTTGAACACAGCCGTGTCTCCGTTACATCACTCCATATTGCTTTGTTCTTAAGACTAATGAGCAACGGTGTTAGTGGTACCGTTGGTGATACTTGCATCAGCCTTGTACGGCTATGATCGATAAACTACTGTCCACGCTAATCCAAATCTGGTGCATTTTCGTCCATGTGTCTGGGTTGCAAATGTCGAGGCAAATTTCCTAATGCGGAACTGTACTTGACTAATTGGGTCCTATAAACTAGGGGCGACACCAACCGGTGTGTAATGGTATCCGGCATACACGGATGCTGAAACCTCGAGTGTGGCCACCGAGCTACTTAGCAGTCACACACGTGTCGACGTTTCACATTGACGAAATCGCAAATCACACATTGCCCACTGATTTCGGCCAACGCAAATGTTACCGCAAAATTTCAAATTGCACCGAAAACCTATTGTTGTGGTTTTAGCAACATGGGGTCTATTTTCACATCAACAGGACATCGCACAAATCTGCTGATGAATGAAAGCGGATTAACACAGATGGCGTTGTCAGTAGGGTGCCGTGAGTGACTCACCCGGTGATGTTTCGTGGGTGGGGGATCAGTGAATACAGTGACGACAACGAAGATGGCGAGGAGCCATCTTGATGAATCCTGGATCGCCAACAACTCTCCCCTTTACAAAGCAAGAAAATTGTCTTGTTTTGTTGACTTGGAGGAGGCTTGGGTTTCATCGTTTGCGACTACACTGTCTTGGGTGTGATGATTTGTCAGCTGCTTAATAACCACTCTCCTGTATTACTGGTGATGCATTCGATGTCGCCAGCTGGAAAGTGTCGAATAGCACATCCCGAGGGACGCTGGTCTGGCGATTTGGTGTCGTGGATCCTTTTCTCCATCAAAGCTGGCTGTGATGCCCTAACAACGAGACGTGACCCACCATCATGTCAAACAAGACACTTCCGTGTCGGCGTACAATCGTCCGCTCGATCCACGGGTCCTATCTCGGTCGATTGTCTCGAACGAGTACAGCTCTTCCAATCTTGAATGGAGGGGCAGATTTCGTCCTTGGAGGCCTTAGGAGGCTGTCTTTAGAGGAATCATGGCGTAGTTTGCTATCTGCAATTTGCGACCCATGTGTGCAGTCGATTGCAACTGTCGATTTTCTAGAGGCTCGTTTGGTGCTGTCCGATATAACAGCAGAATAATGTTCTGTAGACTTTCGACGAAAGTCGTCAATTCCCCACGGGGTGATAGCAGGGTTCGCTCCAATGAGCCCATGAATCTTCCCGCTTGTCCATTTGACTGCTCGTGGTTGGGTGGAGGAAGCACGTGGTTAATTGCATGTTGTCGAAATAATTTCCTAAATTATTGTGATTTGAAGTGTGGGGCAGCTTCGAAGACTATAGTTTCCGCAATTCCGTGGTGGCTGAAAATCTAGCACAGAGTCTGTAGTGTCCTTGTTGTTGTGTTGTAAGTCATTGGGATTATCTTCGGCCATTTTGAGTAGGCGTGTACTAGAACAAGATAGAAGACTCCACTGATAGGTCCTGCAAAGTCGATATGGATGCGTAAACAAGGATTTTGTGGCACCAACATCCACAATTCTTACTAAAGTATCCCCTGTCTTACATCTTGCTCTCAACTTCAATGACAATTTCTCATATTAGAACACGTTAACCTAACCTTAACCCTAACACTTTTTTCCTACTTTCAACTGGCCCTTATATCTCACGAATACCACGGCAGGTTGATACGCATTGCGCTATCACTGGAGGTTTGGGAGGAGCTTCTTACAAGTAGCCCTATTGATTCCTCACCGCGAATCACTTTCGACAGCTTAAAGCCCCTCATTTAGCATTTCCAACTGGAGGGCGAACTTGGAATCGGGTTATTCAGACGACGTTAGGTTCCAGGCGATGCGTTTCCAGAAACGAAGGCAAAATGGAACAAATAATCACACTTTTTGTGAGGCCAAAATCGTTACCAATAATAGAAGAACATTATTTGCAAGCTTTAAAAGTCTTTTTTGCATTATCGTGTGCACACGAATTGCACTGGCGGATGATCTTTGTATAAGCTGTCATCGTGAACTCTGCCATTCCATGAGGTTATGCAACTCACTTAGACTTGTCGTTTGGTGTTCTGAAGGGCCTACGCGTGCCCGTAACCAAGATAACACACATTCAGAAAAGCAAAGGATGACCTTGATCTAGCGGATCAGGACATGTCAACAAACATAAGCTGTCAGTAAATTGACGCCGTGACTCATACGCTGAAGTGGCGTGGTTAGACCAATGGTGTGAACAATGACGAAATGGGCAATGAGCCATCTTGAAGTTTCCTGGATCCCCAACCGAAACCTCGCGTTCAATTCTCTCGAAGCCACTACAGCCCATAATATTCTTTAACATTTAAACCTAAGCTGATCTGTTGATCTATGAAACGAAATGACCCGTGTGACCGAAATCCCTGTGTGCCAACTCTGTCAATCATTTCTAACTGCTGTCATTTTCACCCATAGTCCAGATCAGACACGCCAGTACACACTTGCGTGCCATGACGACAGTCGCTCTCTCCAAATCGTGCATTTCAACAGTATGCAATGACTCACAGCAAATCAGCAGACTTACAGAAGTGCAACGAGGGCAAATATTGCACACAGGATAACACAGTGCTGGCATTAAAGTGTGCTTTGTTGGTGGCGCCAACTATTAACACACTCGTGCAGATGGCTTCTTCCGTCTAAGAACAAGTAGATAGTCAGCAAGAACCTCCGTAATTAAGTCAAAAAGGAATTTTGACCGGGCGAATCAAGCCTGATAAACAAACAGTTCGAGCTGTAAGCGGTGTGACGTGTATAGCTAACATGTGTGGCGTGGTTAGGGAGTTGTGTTAACTAAGACGAAATCGTGACTAACGGTGATCCGCCGACCGTTGTAGGCTGACTCACATCACGTGCCCTGGGTGTCGATGAGCTTAACAAGGATGAGTGTGTAGTGGTGTGTCAGCCATTGCGCTTGAGTGAGGAATACATAATAACCTGCTTGTGTCAGCGGCGCACATTACTTCCTACTGGTTTCTCTTATTCACCAAAGCGGCTGTAATATCTTTGAAACGTAGGGTGTA